CTGCAAAAGACCTCTTAAAAGTGTTGAAAAGCAAAGACGTTGCTTTGAGGACTAAGGTGTGCCTGACGCAAGCCATAGTGTTTTCAATCGCCTCACTTGCATGCAAAAGCTGAACGATGAATAAGGAAGACCAAAGAAGAATTCACTCCTTTGAATTGTGTTGGCAAAGAATATTGAATATGCCATGAACTGCTAAAAGAATGAACAAATCTGTCTTGGAAGAAGTACAGCCAGAATGCTCCTTAGAAGCAAGGATGGCAAGACTACGTCTCACATACTTTGGACATGCTATCAGGAGGGATTAGTCCCCGGAGAAGGACATCATGCTCAGTAGAGAGTCATCGAAAAAGAGGAAGACCCTCAACAAGGTGGATTGAGACAGTGGTTGCAACAATGGGCTCAAGCATAGGAACAATTACAAAGATGATGCAGGACTGGGCAGTGTTTCGTTCTGTCGTGCGTAGGGTCACTATGAGTTGGAGCTGACTCAATGGCACCTAACAACAACAACAAGAAGGTGACCCACGGTGGGAGATTTTTCTCCCCTTAGAAACCACATTCAATGAGGTGTGCGTGGCTCTACTGGCTCTGATCTGAAGAAATGGACAAGCCTTGTATTTATGTTTGAGATAAACCCACTGCCATCGAGTCCATTCCGACGCATAGTGACCCTGTAGGACAAAGCAGAACTACCCCATAGGGTTTCCGAAGCTGTAATCTTTACAGAAGCAAATTGTCACATCTTTCTCTTGCGTAATGACTGGTGGCTTTGAATTGTCGACCTTTCAGTTAGTAGCCGAGCCCTTAACCACTGCACCACCAGAGCTATTATGTTTGAGATTGACATTACTCTTCTGAAAATAACAAACAACGGAGCCCCATCTTAAATAATGTACAGGCCCTACTGAAGGAGAAAACATTAAACACGCCCCCCACACCTGAAACCAACCCTGGCTATGGCCAAGATTAACCATAAAAAAATACTTCCAAATGAAATGCGAAAATACTGAAGTCGCAAGGGCTTTTATGGTGCACCTGCCACCTCAACCAAACCAAACCCGCTGCACTGACTGGATTCATAGTGACACTATAGGACAGAGCAGAACTGCCCCACAGGGTTTCCAAGGCTGTAATCTTTGCGGAAGCAGACTGCCACATCTTTCTCCCATGGAGCGGCTAGTGGGTTCGAACCACCAACCTTTTGGTTAGCAGCTGAGGGCTTAACGACTGCACCATCAGGGCTCCTTATTTACTACATTAGGTGGCAACCACTCTTCATTTTCTGAGTGGAGCGTCACTGAGAAAGGAGAGGAAAAGACCACATAGTGACATATATGCTAACCCCCTGTCAGAAGCATGGCGTCTGTTGATACAGCCAAACCCTGCACTGCAGACAGGGATACTGAGGCGCCCAGAGAGAAAAGAGTTTCCCTGCCATCACAGGAACCCAACCAAACCTGTTGGCGTCTAGTCGATTCCGACTGATAGTGACCTATAGGACAGAGTGGAATTGCCCCATGGTGTTTCCAAGGAGTGGGCTGGTGGATTTGAACTGCTGACCTTTTGGTTAGCAGCCAAGCTCTTAACCACTGTGCCACTAGGGCCCCCTAGGTCACCTAGCAGGTGCTAGGAAATGCTAAGAAAGTGCCAGGTATCTTCTGACTTAGCTGGGCTCTTTCTTTTCAACTCTGCTGCCTAGAGATTCACCTTCTTTCAGCGTAGCGCTCTACCAGGAAGGTTGCAGACCTCAGGAATTCTGGGTTCCTGCAATCTTAAGAAAATCACTCCCATCAAATATGCAGCCACTAGGCTAATGCTTCCCCTCCTTTAAAATTAATACTCCTTGTTATTTTTTCCTTATAACAGGAATGTATGGTCAACGTAGAAAAATTTGTAGGTAAATTTAAGCAAAAAGAAGGCAAAACAAAACACATCAAGAAGACCACTGTATTTTTATTCTATTTTATACTTATAATATTATATATATATTTTTTCTATTCACAGACTTATGAGGGAGGGCTGGCTACTGGAGTCCCGTCTCTAGTCCTTCTCCCCTACCTCCCTCACTGCCCTAGAGTCCCCGAGGCACAGCTCGGAAACCAGTGAGTCAGAGATTTTGCCCTTCCAGCTAGAAAATGGAGCCCTGCTGGCTCAGTGGTTAAGAGCTCAGCTGCTAACCAAAAGGTTGGAAGTTTGAATCCACCAGCGGCTACTTGTAGAAAATAGCAGGAAGACAAGCATGTCGCTGGACTAGAGAGGAAGCCTAGTGGTGGGTGGGGAGCATCCTGTAGGGGTCTCTAGGAACAGATGGGAGAGAGGGGAACTCCTCAGAGGAGAGTGAGCACAAGGAGAGTAGCAGCAACTCAAATAATGGGCAAGAAGCAGGTGAGTTAGTGTGGAGATTCTCTACAAACTAACTGGCTGGTTCAACCTGGTGACCTCAAAGCAGGGCTGGGACAAATAGTTTCCTAACTTAGTAGTCAATACATCTCTGGAGGAGGCGGCCTAGGTTCAAATCCTGTCCCTGCACTTAGTGGCTGGGGGATTTCAGGCAAGTCACTCAATCTCTGTGCCTTCATTCCCTCACCTCTCACATGGAGTTAATGATGTGAGGTTTAAATGAACAAATACACATGAAGATCAATAGTGCCCGGCACTCAGAAAGTGGTTGGCCTTAACTAGGGCTTCACAGATACAGGCTTAACTACCATTTTTAAAAATAGATTTTAGGGTGCTGGGAGGTTGCTAAAAGTTTGCATTCATGGGCTGCACCACTGTGTTTTCCAAATGGGTCAGGCGAGTCCCCCAAGTAGGTTCTGCTGTGGGTGATAGGCAGATCTATCCTTGGTTTCCCTTTAACCTGCACCTGAGTAGCACACTGGTCTTTAATGGGAACACCATGTACCCGAATGAAGGATGCTCCAAGGAATGGCAAGTATCTGATGCTCTTGGGAGCTGTGTGAACGGATAGCCCCTGGATACTGAGAACTGGTACTGAGGTTGATTTGCAAAGGGCCTGAAAGTGGAACCAATGCCAATTTAAAGATCTGAAGTAGCAGTGGACACACCAGTGTTCCTTGTGCTATTTTATTTTTACACCTTAAATAGTGGTTAATTTTAATAGGGCTTCAAGTAGATTGGTCCAAGAATCCTTATTCTGGGTACATTTTCTGCTGTAACAAACCAGTAATTCAGTAGAAGTTTCATTGGCATCTTAAATATTGCTGTAACAGGCTCACCTTCAGAGGGGCCTTAAAACTGGTATTTCAAGACCAAAAGACATGGTCTCTTTTCACTTGAAGAGTGAGGTAGACACCCAAATAAAAGGCAATCTGCGTGAATTAACAAGGCTGGGCTCCTGACCTTCATTCCCTTACATTGCTTTCCTATTGTGCAAAGCAAAATTCTAAATTAACAGAGCCCTTCTGAAGATATGCGCTAGTACTTTGCTACCTTCGTCACTCCTAAGACTCGGCATTTTCCCTTTCAGCCTATACCTCTGCTCTGAAATTCTCACAGGCCTATTTTAGGTGAAATTCAGAATTCCAGCTGGTCATTGTAGAAGCAGCGAAGTCTTGGGAATAGCTTACCTAGAGTGAATGAACTTAGCTTGTTCGTACCGGGAAGAGGAGACTGCATTAATATGGAAAGGAGGACCACTGCCTGGGAAGAACAAAGATGCTTCTTCACTTCCCCTACTCCTAAAAAAAAACTAAAGCAGGTCTTAGAAGTGATTTAGAAATCAAGATTCAAATTCTTAATTTTATCTGGGGGGCACTGAGTTTGTTAGTGGTGGAATAATTAGAATAATCCATTGCCCTTGAGTCGATTCTGACTCATAGTGACCCTATAGGACAGAACAGAACCTCCCCACAGGGTTTCCAAGGACTCCTGGTAGACTCTTTTGGTTAGCAGCCAAACTTTTAACCGCTACTCAGCCAGGGTTTCCTGTTTTAGAATAGGATAGTGATAATGATGGGGGCACAATGTGAACAATGCAGTCAATATTATTGAATTGTAAGTATGCTGCTGGTTTTGATGCTTGCATTTTCACAATTAAAAAAAAAAATTCAGACTCAAGACAGACTAAGATACGGAAAGTGGAGGGGTTTTTCCCATTACTCCACAGAAATAAAATAATGTTAACTGTGGACCTACCTTTCATACTCTCCGTCAGATAAGCCCGAAGCATTTAGAATATTGTTAGGTCAATACTGCACTGGGTTCCTGGAAATGTTTTTGGCAAATATAGCCAATAACGTAATTCACAAAGCAGGAAGCAAGCTGAGCATCTGAATTGAACCTGTCAAAGAAAATTTCATTGAAACCTTTGACCAAAGTGTAATTAAGAAAAAAAAAAAAAAAAAGATTGAACTAACCTGGACCCCTGCTAAATTCAGCAAAATCAAAATTGACTTCTAAACAATGCCTGACTTTTTGGGCTCCTTACCTCGCTAACCCACCTTAAGTAGTCAGGAAAATGCCCTTCCACGGTGGCTGTGTCAACACCTGGAGGAAATGTAATGGTCACAGGTGCAGCATGTCACATCTTGTTCCCAGAGGTCGGTACACAGTTATCTGAAATCCCCTTACAGAGGATATTATCAGAAAAATACGTTGCTGCAGGCAAGGTATTTTCAACTTGTTTACCATGTAATCAAATAGGGTGTAATGTCCTTAATGCCTGCACTACACAATCTCAGGAATCTCAGGAAACCTGTCTTAAGATGACTAGGCAATACCTGGGAAAGCCTGTCGTGACTACGGGAAGAGGCCCCATCCTGACATTATGTCCCCTGGACTCTGTAGCTTAAAACTAAAACCATTCCCAAGGCCAACTCGTCAAAGATTAGACTGGACTATGACATAAAATGATACTCGCAGAGTGTGTTTCTTAGCTCAAGCAGATACGTGAAACTAAATGAGCAGCTCCTGTCCGGAGGAGATGAGAAGGCAGAAACGGAACAGGAGCTGGTTGAATGGACGCAGGAAATCCGGGGTGGAAGGGAGTGTGTTGTCACATTAAGAGCAACTAGGGTCATATAACAATGTATGCAATACATTTTTGTATGAGAGACCAACTTGAACTGTAAACTTGCACTTAAAGCACGATAAAAAAAATGTCGTTACCAGTCTGCTGCCCAGCTGTGACATGCATGACTCTCGCTGTGAACTCTATTCTTTGTCAAGACCCTATAAAAATGTTTGTGTAGTTGTTTTGTGAAATGGCTTTCTGGTGTCATTCCAATGAGCCATGTAGTTTCCAATTTGAAACATTCTATAAATCCTTAATATTTAAACCCTTAATAAACCTGTTTTACTCTGAAATAGCATTTAAGTTTTCTCTACAACAAACCTCAACATTTGGCTCTAAACACTGAAGACGGGAAATAAACCAGTCATCAAGCAGAAAGTCCTTTATTAATTGACAAACAGGTTGTTCAGATCAATGGTAGAAAAAGGTAGAAACAAAAATGAGAAAACGGTGTAACAGTTTTATATGGAGATGAGGAAAAGGGAAGAAAACTTTGGAAGCTGGCATCAGCAGATGGAACTATGATGAAAATGAAGTCTTATTTTCTAGATCCTTCTGTGGCCAATCTATCAGCTTCTTCATTGCCTTTGATGCCTTGATGGCCAGGAACATACTTCTATTAACAGTTAAAAAAAAAAAAAATCCAGAGTTTATTACTTCTCCCAAATCTTTTCCCACGTCCTAACTCACCACAAAAATCAGCAGTGAAGTTCTGTCATCTACCTGTTACTGCACACAAAGAACTTTCTGTAGACTGGTCAAGTTAAAAGGAAACAAAAATGTTTTGGCTGAAGACTGCTCCTCCAATACCTTGGGTACTTTCCTTACAACCATCCTGAGTTAGAATGAATAATTATGTTCATTATCGAAAAAAAGCCTTGAGGTATTTTAAGGCTAGTCTTCCAAAAACCTCGGGTACTTCCCTCACCTACATTCTGTATTTGGAACCAAACTACAAAGATAACAATGGTCATTGTGCAGAAGTCTTTTTTTTTTTTTTAGTTCACTCTTTGGCATTATTACTTCCAAGGGAAAATGTAATGTGGTAATATAATAACTGTGGAAAAATGGTGGTAGTCTTCAGAATGCCAAATCCATCGCTGTAGGGCAAACTTGCCAGACTTCCCACTCTTCATGTCTTTCAAATGTAAGCTGTTATGATGGTAGCAGCACTGTAGAAATCTTTGATTTACTCTATTCCCTCTCCCCATTTGAGGGACACAGTACTGAACTATCAGTGGAGCAAAGAACATTATATGAAAAAAATAAGATGGAGGGAATGGAAGCCTCCGATTTTCAACATTCACTGAAATAAAGATGGCATTTTACACGTCTAATATTAACAGAATAGCTACAGCATGAAGACATCATTTTTGTGCGATGTTCCAGCCAAATGCCAAGTCCCACCATGGATCCAATGACCCTCTTTAAAGGCCTTAGGTCTTGTCTTCTCCAAAGACAAATGGACCTACAATGCTGAACTTCAAAAGGGTACTTCTCCCATCCATTGGAGCTTTGTTTACTCCTCTCCTGTAATCTTTCCTCCTAGTCCCTTAGTTTTCCGTGACCCCTAAAATGATAGCCTCCCATGTTACTAGAAAGAGATGTTTCTATAGGAAAAGTAAATCTGTATATATTAGAATTTCATAGAAAATAAAATGCAGGATTATGGTATCCAAAATTCAGAAATGATAATTTTCCATTAAATACTATGTAAGTAGTTTTCCTAAATTCATTTTTATCACCTCTCAGCCAAAATTCCTTACATGGGAATGCATCTCAAATCATGTGCTGAAGAGTTGAGTGTTGTTTTAACAGTGTGTCTGTTTTAAAAAGATGCAAAGCGAAGCTAGATAGTCGCACCAGCATTAATTTTAATTACTTTGGATTTTACTATAATTTTATCAAGAAAATGGATTTATTTTTTAGCAATTGCAGTTCTAACTAGGTCTCTGGTACTCAATACTAAGAGCTGTCAAGTGGTTTACTGAGGAAACCATTCCACCTTTTGCTTTTTATACAATTAAAAAGTTAAGAATCACACTAACAGATAATTTTGGGTAAGTTGCCAAAAGGCATAAATTTATAACTATCTTCCAATGTTTTAACTGTTCGTATAGCCCTAACCCACTGTTGTTATCTACTGTCAAGTGGGGCCCCCCAGTTATGGGGCCCCATGTACAACTGAAGGAAATGTTGCCCAGTCCTGTACCATCTCCATGATCAGTTGGGGATCAGACCTTCGTGTATCTATAGGGTTTTCACTGGGTAATATTTACAAGTAGATCCCCAGGCCTTTCTTTCTAGTCTCAGTCTGGAAGCTCCGCTGAAACCTGTTCAGCATCGTGGCAACATTCAAGCCTCCACTGAAGAAGGTGGCAACTCATGAGGTACACTGACCAGGAATGGAACCCATGTCTCCCACATGGAAGGTGACATTTCTGCCATTGAACCATCAACGTCTCCTATCCTAGCCTAGCAGTTCAAGAATTATAATAAGAACAGCAAGTCTTTCTCACCCACTGAATATCCATGCCTCGGGAAGCTTGATCAATCTTCTCAAAATCACTTCTGTTGACAACATCTCTTCCAGAGGCTGTTTTCCATCCGTTTTGTTTCCAGTTATCCATCCATTTTGTTACGCCTAAGCGATTAAAGTAACAGTACCTCTGAGGATAAAGTTAACTAGCCTTTCAGTTTTCTAAAAATTTTTCTACGTTCAATTATCTAGTGCCTTTTCAAAAATGAGAAAAGAATCTCCTTGGATTCTGCTGAGACATGTTCTCTGCCCCTGAATTGCTGAGAATCTGGAATTTGGACAGCTCAGACATGGGTCATCAGGAAGGTTAATGGGCCCTCGGCGGGGGCAGAACTCTCTTGGAAAAAGGGAAGGAATTAACATTTGAGATGTTTTGTTCTCTTTATCTTGCTTTAACCTGCACAAACATTGCTCTGGCGGCACAGCACTCTCTACGCAGGCACTAGGAGATAGAACGGTTGTGCAAATCAAACAAGTGGGAGACACCAGACTTTTGGCATTTCTGTGATACTGAGGGGAGCTGGAATGAAGGGGTAGACGTTGGTGGAGGGGATGGTCAGGAAGACTTCATGAAGATAGTATAAAAGGATGTGTAGGTGGGATGCAGGGATGGGAAGTCTTTGCTTAAGAATTCTTCTTGGAACACTAAAAATCCCTACAAAGTTAAAAAAGGGAGTGTGCGAAAGGTGGGGGCCAAGAGCTACACTACCTCAATTCAGTCTGCTCCAGGATTACAGATAACTCATTTCCTTAGAGACTGATGTGAGACATAAATAAGCATTTTCCTCCAACCTTGTCCGCCTCTGGAAAGTGCCAGGGATTTTTTGCCAGGTGTCTTTAAGTGTTCTCATATAACTCACATCTAAAGGTACGCTTTATTCCTTTACAGAAGAGAATCTGAGGCCGAAAGACTTGCCATGGCTGAAAACATCAGTTTTCTTATTTCCAAAAGACCTTGAGCCTCACGGACAGGCAAGCGTTCCCCTATCACACAGGGAATAAGGCCACCAGGGGAGATTTGGCTTTCGGTTTGCTAGTCTTGAAGCTGACATAACTAACTGATGCCTTTGGCTGAAGATTAATAAACGGTTAAAAGTAGAGCTTAATTCTTGAGACTCTTTCACTAAGTACATCTTTTCAGTGCTCTTATCTGGAGCCTTTTTTTTTTTTGGCTTAAGAATCACACCCAAGCAACAGAAAAGTAGACAACATTTCTGATCTTCCTTTCAAGCACCCCTCCACCCACGCTTTTCCCAAATGACATCAGTGAACAAATAAAGTGCCTTCCAGTCTGTTTTTACCTGGCAATCTGGAAGCTATTGTCATTCTCAGTGGAAAAGTTACCTTGGATGACAAACTTGCTATCAGTTTCAATGATGAGTTTGTCCATATTTAGGCTCTTTGCTTGTTCAATTGCTTTGTGGGCTGCCTGTAAGAAAATTTCTGACTTTTCTTCTTCAGAAAAGGACACATTTTCCATGTAAAACACATTAAAAATGTCAATTTAACACACGGCATGCAATGAAACTTCGGTCATCACACTCTACGTGTACCTAGCCCTAGGTACCACGCTTCTCTCATCTGTCTTCTTGATCTAGGAAGGCAGGATCAATGTCAGATTTATCCTAGAACCCCAATGCGTAGTGAATGGCGTGCTTAAATACTAATATCCTGAACTGACACCTAGGAGTTTTCAGACTCTTTAATGGTCATTATGATTGACTAGCAAGATAGTGTTGGGAGGTTGAGGGGTTGGGGAGGAGAAAGTTCTTAGCTTCCAAGCCAAGAAAGCAGCATTGTGGTTTCAAAGGAAGAGCCACAAAGACATGAATGACTAAGTCTTGGTAGTATGTAAGACTTACTAGAGTGACTCTGCACCTCTTAAAAATATATTCAACTGTCTGTGGAGGATTTGGGAGCCTGGCTGGTGCCAAGTGGTTTGCAGTCGACTTTGAACCTAAAGGGTGGTGGGTGGAACTCACCCAGTGGCTCCAGGGAAGGCCTGGCAAACTGCTTCTGTAAAGATTGTTGTTGTTAGGTGCCGTGGAGTCGATTGTAACTCCCACTGACCCCAGGTGATCATAGGGTTTTCTTGGCTGTAATATTAGAGGAGCAGATTGCCAGGTCGTTCTCCCAAGAAACCACTGGATGGGTTTGAACAGTCAACCTTTCAGATACCAGTCCAGCACCAACCATTTGCAGCCACCAGGACACCTTTCTGTAAAGGTAACAGCCAAGAGAAACCTTTGGAGCAGTTCTCTAACACACACGGGGTGGTCATGAGTATGCAAGGGGTGGTCACGAGTATAAATCCACTGGATAGCTACTGGTAATGGGAGCATTATTTCATTGCTGCCCCTTGTTACTTTTATGGTAGAATTAGATGTGAAAACAATTAGCCTTATTCATTCATTTTAGTAAATTGGGGGACAGAGAAGGGGACATGATTCATCTTTATAGAACAAATTAACAATGAAGCAGAGACTACAATGACAAAACCTTCCAAACTGCCTGAACGCAGTGGTCTGGCATGCGGCGGCAGTACCACCTTGTTAATGCGGCTTAGGAAACCCTGGTGGCGTAGTGGTTAAGAACTATGGCTGCTCACCAAAGGGTCGGCAGTTCAAATCTACCAGGCGCTCCTTGGAAACCCTATGGAGCAGTTCTACTCTGTCCTATAGGGTCGCAATAAGTCGGAATAGACTTGACGGTAAGGGGTTTTTTTGGGGGTGCTTAATGCGGCTTAGGCAGAAAATCTAGAAGGAGCACAAAGGCAAAAAACTTGAGGATGGGTGGACCATGAGGCCAGAAATGAAACCAGAAGGCTCTTCCTTGCTGGACCAAGTCTGGGAGTCCCGCTGACTACACCATTACAGCATAGGCAGGAAAGGGAGCTCGTCCGTCCTGTACTGATTTTCTCCCCTTCACAGGAACTAGATTGTAAAATAAAGACGGCACGCTGAATGTCAGCTGTTGTGTGAGTTAACACGACTTACCCTCAGTTCTGCTGTTTGGTTTGTCTGTCGTCCAGAAACCCTCTCGCTGACATTTCTGTTTCGGGATTTAGAAATAATTTATTAATTTTTTATTGTCTTAAAAAGTTCCCATTTTGCTCATGGACCTCCTAAAAAAGTTATGAGAAACAATCTACATTGTCACTCATTTCTGGCATCATTTAACTTTTTACCTTAAATTTAAATTACTGCCAAGAAGGCAATTCCTGGCATCTTAAAAATACAAATAGCTCTCCTCATGTATTGTTATCCAGCTCTCCAACTATACAGGATTGGAACTTTGTACAAGGGGAAGGGAGAATTCCCAGGGATTACCTGAGGGAGTATGTTCTTAGATTTGGCTAAGATTTTAGAGAAGGGGGTTTACCTGTGGGCATTGAAATGTTATCCAATGGAATCTGACTACCATACTTATTGATAGGGGCTGCCGTCTGCTTGAAAAGCCCACAAATAAGATCTTCAACAGCAGGAAATTTTATATCTATCTTCTTTCACCATGAACACATCCCACACCCCACAGAATTTTATTCTAAATAGATTTTCATGCTTGAAAACTTTACTGATCAATCGATCTATTCACCAAATACAAATGCAGGATTTAAAATGTCTTATGTCCAGAAACAGCCCTGGTGGCACAGTGGATAAGAGCTTGGCTGCTAACCAAAAGTTTGGCAGTTTGAATCTCCGCCAGCTACTCCTTGAGGCAGCTCTACTCTGTCCTACAGGATGGCTGTGAGTAGGAAATGGACTTGATGGCAAAGGGTTTGGTTTTGGTTTTTATGTCCATACTGTAGGTGTTTTCTCTTTTGGATTGAAATATTATAATTGGCACACAGTAAGTATTACATTTTGACACTAAAGTATCAAACATTTTTATCTGAATGAATAATATTTACCGCTAGCAGGAAACAGAATTTAACATCAATTTTATGATCTGAATATCTTAAAATTATCCATGCCCATATACATCTTGGATACCACGGACCCCCCACACCCCCAGTAAAGTCTTTAAAACCCTTTTCTAAAAAAGGAAAGAGGAATGACAAGTCTCAGTGCAGTGGTTCCCCCAGGTGAGAGGAGGCAGAGGGATGGGGGGAATGCTCACCGCTCAGTGCTCTAGTTTTCCTACGTGATGGTGAGTTGGCAGGTGAATTCCTTATTAAGTATAAATATACATCAATGGATGGAATGAACACTTGAAGGCTTTACATGGTCTAGTGATAAGCATGTTATGAACCAAGAATTTTTACTAGTTCTTTAAAAAGACCTTTTTTTAAGAATTTAGCAGAGGAGCCCGAGTGGCACAGTGGTTAATTGCTTAGCTGCTAGCTGAAATGTCGGCGGTTCGAAACCACCAGCCACTCCTGGAGAGAAAGATGTGGCAGTCTGCTTACGTAAAGACTACAGCCTTGAAAATCCTATGGGGCAGCTCTACCCTGTCCTATAGGGTCGCTGTGAGTTGGAATCAACTCCATGGCAATGGGTTTTGGTTTGGTAACTGTTTAGCTTTAATTTTATTTTACTTACAGTGGGTTGTTGGGTCCCCAGAAAACGCCACATCCAGCTTTGGCTCCATCTCTCCCATTATTTTTGCAGCTGCCATCTACATAAACAGTTGGGATGCGTTCTGCAAAACAAATCCAACTGCCTGAGGATTATGTATGCCTCAGTACACATGCCAGGTTCGTGGGCTACTGGATGAATATGCAACTTCCTGGCCCCAGCAATAGCAAACGCCGTGTAGCCAGAGCGAGTTCCTGGCTTCACCGCACAAGTGAATGCCCCATTGTAGGACCAATCTCCTCTGGTCCCCCAGAGTTGCAATTGAACTTAGGTGTCCTCCCCACTGCCTGGTGCTGACTCACAGCATTTATCAGGACACAGTACTGGTTCATGTCTGGGTTGTCTCGCACACTCAGCACCTAGAGGGTAAAGGACCAGTTATTGGATCTTGTCCTCAGAGCGCAACAAATGGGCATTGAAAGAGTCCACACCCTGGCCCCTTTTTACCCTCCTTCCCAAAGCAGTCTTTTAAAGGTGTTCTTCGAAAGGGTATTTATGTTTACTTTCAGTGCTTAGCACAATGCTTGGCACACACGGGTTCTCCCTCAATCTGTTGTATTTATTTAAAAAAAAAAAAAATTCAGTCATTACTACACTTGCCAATTCCATTGTAAGCACAAAGCAATTTTCCTACCAAATATCCCACACTATGCACGCTGGAGGGAAGGGAAGGGGGTTGGAGTTTTAAACTGTTTCTTGGTTTGTCTTCAGACAAATAGGGAAAGCCTTCAAGAAAACGTTTATGGGAATTGAAGGGGCGGGGGGAGACGTTTTCTTCCAGTCTGGGCTGAGAACTGAAGATTTTTTGATCTCCATTACAACCAAGCTTGTTTGGGCGACCATGTAATACTTAAACGACCCCTTGTAACCACTAAGAATCAAGGGCATCTCCCTAAAGGCCCCGAAGGCACGCCAAAGTGAAGGGGCAGGGTTTACCATAGCTGTGGCCAAAGAGGGAACCAAACAGACGCAGGATTTTAGCGATGTCACACGCGTACCCACTTCAGGGTCGCTGGGTCCTTTTGCAAAGTGAAGGCACCATCTAATCCTTTTTTTTTTTTTAAACAGCTCTGTAGAACACTAACAGACTTACTAGACGCTATAGATCTACGACGGACCACGTGGGGGCAGCGGGCTGGAGAGGCTTTGCAATCCTGAACTTCACATTCGTCCACCAACTTAGAGGAGCGGCGGCACCGCTTGTCCCACAAGTCGTGCGTTGGGAAGTGACCGGCAGGCGCAGAAACAACTTGGTTACAAACTTGGCGCACACTTTGCTCCACAATCCGCAGCTTCTCAGGTTTTCCACACACCCTCCCATCCACATCCACCAGGGCTGGAGAGGAGCGACTACGGCCGGCGGGGATGGGGTTGCAGGGACGTCATGGACAGAGTCCAGGGAGCCCAGAGGCCTCAGTGCCCACCCTGGTTAGTTTCTGGACACGTTTACGTCCTTTCTCCTAGGGCACCCCAATTCCCTTCACTTAAGTTCTCAAAGTTTATGCGTGTAGTGAACTCATGTGAGGATGTTGGAAATTAAAGGTCTTTGCAAAACAGAGGATACGACGTGCCAGGAAGGCCCCTGAACGCCTCGACAACTGTCCCCATAGACCTCAGGAGTATATAAGAAGTTCTGACCCGGGACAAGGAGGTCGTGGTTTCCAAAGCAGCGCCTTGGCCAGTCCCTGGGACAGTTGCTCCAGCCCCTTACAAAGGCGGTCTCCCCTCTTCCCTTTTGGGAAGTTTCCGAGATGGCTCCCCGGGATCCCTCCCGGGGATCCCTCTCCAACGCTCTGGCGACAAGTACCAGGGCGCGCGCGCCTCCAGGATGTCAGGGTGCCCTCCCCTCCGAAGCCAGCGGCTCACCTCCGCCACGGCCAGAGAACTGTCTGCGTCGTTCCCCGGAGTTCATGTCGGACTTTTCCACCACGATCGATCAGCCACCTTCCGGGTCTCCGCGGTCTGCAGTTCTGGCCCCGCGCAGGCGCAACCAATTTGAGGAAGCGGTGGCCGGGAGGCGGCGCCGGCTGGGAGACGCCCACCCCACGTTTAGCCTGGGGGCATGCGGGGCACTAGGCTGCCCGAGTCTCCGCTGTCTCTCGCCCTCCTCGCTTCCACCTGGCCGCCGCCTCCTCTCCTCCCGCCCCAGTCACAGATGCCCTCTGGCAAGTGTTTTCGCCCCCTTCCTCCCTTGTCCTCCAACCCAACACCCAGGCCACCTGCTAACCTCAACATCTAGTGAGCTGGTGAGATGCAGGTGCCTCCCTCCGAATGAAAGCAAGCTGCAGACTCCTCTTCTTAAGGGCTGTGTCCCCAGAATTTTGAACTGAGTCTGAGTCTGACATTCATTAAGATCTCACAAAAATATCTGCTGAACAAATGCAGAGATGAATGAATGAATGAAGCTTAACAATGAGGGCTGCGTAATAAGTGGGAGGTCCAAGGGTAAGGGACCTCCAGGGGCAGGTGGGAAGTGTCAGAGAGAGGAAAGACTGTGTTATGCACCAGTAACAGCCCAGACGTTGTCCCATGTAAGGATTAGAGGATAAGAAAACTTCTGGAAAGAGGCACAATCTGAACTGGGCCACTGTTTGGACGTTGATGAGAAGTATCACCTAGTAGGTGCTGAATGAAAATTTATCGAATCCTTTCAGGAGGAAAAATCAGGTTCTTAATTGTGAGTTTTCTGTATTATTTCATAATATTCAATTCTACTACAGAAAGTAACAGTAAAGTTTATGTCTTAAGCATAGACAGGTAAGTTGTTAACCTGTCAGACTCCTTAGACAAAAGAACATATGTGTGTGAACATAGATTAAAAAAAGGATGGCAGTGCTTTCAGGGGACATCTAGGTCAGCTGGCATAACAAAGTTTATTAAGAAAATGTTCTGCATTCTACTTTGATGAGTGGTGTCTGGGTTCTTAAAAACTAGCGAGTGGCCATCTAAGATGCATCAATTTATCCCAGCTCACCTAGAGTAAAGGAGAATGAAGAACACCAAAGTCACAAGGAAAGTACTAGCCCAAGAGACAGAAAGGGCCACATAAACCAGAGACTGCATCAGCCTGAGACCAGAAGACTAGACGGTGCCTGGCTATCACCAGTGACCGCCCTGACAGGGAACACAAGAGAGGGTCCCTGATGGAGCCAGAGAAAAGTGGGATGCAGAACTCAAATTCTAGTAAAAAGACCAGACTTAATGGTCTGACCGAGACTGGGGGATCCCCAGAAAGCACGGCCCCCAGACTCTGGGTCAACCCAGAACTAAAACCATTCCCAAGGCCAACTCTTCAGACAAAGATTAGACTGGACTATGGGACATAAAATGATACTGATGAAGAATGTGCTTCTTAGCTTAAGTAGATACATGAGACTAAATGGGCAGCTCCTGTCCGGAGGTGAGATAAGAAGGCAGAGAGGGTTGGAGCTGGTTAAATGGACACGGGAAATCGGGTGGAAAGGAGGAGTGTGCCGGAGTGTGCTGTCACAGTATAGGGAGAGCAATTAGGGTCACATAACAATGTGTGTATAAATTTTTGTATGAGAGACTAACTTGAAGTGTAAACTTTCACTTCAAGTACAACAATTAAAAAATAATAATGAATAAAATGATGGCAAAACCAAGTAAACACTAAATATTCATGATAAAAACTCCTTGCCATGGAGTCAATTCTGACTCATAGTGGCCCTGTAGGACAGAGTAGAACTGCCCCATAGGGTTCCCAAGGAGCAGCTGTTGGATTCAAACTGCCGACATTTTGGTTATCAGCTGAGCACTTAACCACTGTGCCACCAGGGCTCCAATATTCATGATACCCTAAATAAATGTGACTGAGACTTAATTGTTGTGAGGTATGCTACTCATCTGTTTAATTTTCTATCTATCTTGCCAGTTCATTAAGGGCAAGTGTCCCATCTTATTCACTTTTGTATCCCTAGTGTGAAAGCTGGATAATGAATAAGGAAAACCAAAGAAAAACTGATGCCTTTGAATTATGGTGTTGGTGACGAATACTGAATATACCATGGACTGCCAGAAGAATGAACAAATCTGTCTTGGAAGAAGTACAGCCAGAATGTTCCTTAGAAGTGAGGATGGGGAGACTTTGTCTTAGGTACTTTGGACATGTTATCAAAAAGAACCAGTCCCTGGAGAAGAACATGATGTTAATGAACGCAATGAGTTTGCTGCTTGTACTCTCCTAAGAATAACTACGAGTCAAGTGGATTTAAAGCAAGGGTATAGTTTATTACTCATGGTGAGTAAGGAGATGAAGGGGGGTCCTCCCCAAAAGCACTCTCTCCCCTAACAAAGGGCTGGGGGGGATGTTTTGTACTACACTGCAAAGGGGAAGTCATACACCTCTATTGACTTCATCATATTCAAAAAGGGGTTGGGGTAGGATTCTGGCAGGGAAGTGGCTGACGGGACTTCTTGCTTCTGAAATGAGCTCGGTCCCTGCTCCATGACGTATGTCCGGTGATTTTGGTTCCTAGGCAATACTTATTATGGTATGGGATGAGGCCATCTTACGGTCAACCTGGTCACTTACTGCGCATGCCCAGGATTTTAGTTCTAATTGGCTGATCTGAAAGACAGCTACAAGCGGACAGATCAGGAGGAAGCAAGCAACATTTGCACCATTCTCGAAAAAATTTTAATGGACGTAATTTGTCGTTTAAGGCCCTTTCTGTCTCTAGCTGGTCTCAATCACACTTGGTAGAGCTTCAGAAAAAAAGAGGAAGACCCTCAATAAGATGGATTGACACAGTGGCTGCAACAAAGGGCTCAAACATAACACGGATTGTGAGGATGGCGCAGGACAGGGCAGTGTTTCGTTCTGTTGTCCAGAGGGGCGGAACCGAATCCAGGGCACTAAACAACAACTACGACTTCATAACATCAACTCAACTGTTTGTCTCCAGTGATCAATCAGAAGCAAAATACTTGTTAACCAAACTTGGCTTGAGATTCTCTGCTTACCCTAGTCCCTTACTTTTGGCCCGCCCTCAAGCCTGAGCCGCATACCATCACCCTTAACAGCCGCTTCCCGAGAATAGGCTGGCCTCAGGGTAAAACATTCTCTGCTTACTGACCCATCACATCACCACCCTCTCATCCCGCTTCTCCGAATCTGATTTTCTTCTTCTCTTCTCGTTTGGTGCTGTGGTGAAGAGCTCAGCTGCTAACCAAAAGGTCAGCAGTTCAAATCCACCAGCCGCTCTTTGGAAACCCTATGGGACAGTTCTACTCTGTCTTAAAGCGTCACTACGAGTCAGAATTGGCAACAGATATGGGTTAGTCTTGTTTACTTGTCTCTATAAAAGAAAAACTCTTTTTGCCTCTGTTTTTTTTTTTTAATTTTTCATTGTGCAGTAGGTGAAAATTTACAGAGCAAATTCGTTTCCCATTCGATAGTTTGTACATAAAGGGTTCCATGACGTTGGTTTCATTTCCCACAATGTGTCAGCACTCTCGCCATTTCTGTCCTAGTTTCCCGGTTTCCTTTGCTCCTGATTTTCTACTCCTTCCTGCCGTCTCATCCTTGCCTTGGTGCAAATGTTGCCCTTTTGATCTCATAGAATTGATTGTTCAACGGAGCACTTTCCCCTCTGGTGTTATTGTCTATTTTCTGGACCTCTCTGTGGTTTGGCTGAAAGTGGTCTCCGGGAATTCGCCTAACTCTTGAGACACAGGGTTTTGAGCATTCTTCCTGTTGCAATAGTTCTTTCTGAATCAATCACCTCCCTATCAATATGAACATTGTTTTTATTTTGACATGTGTAATATCTCAAGCAGAGCCCTGGTGGTGCAGTGGTTAAGAGCTCGGCTGCTAACCAAAAGGTCAGCAGTTTGAATCCACCCCATGGGGCAGTTCTACTCTGTTTTTAGGGTCATTATCGTACCACACAGACATCAGAATTTTCACGAGGCAGGCCAAGCAAAGGAACGCAATTCTGATGCAGATTGCGAGGACATCCAAGCAATGGAAGTGGAAATGGTGAGGCTGGCCAAGCAAAGGAAAGAGAATTCTGATGAAGATTGCAAGGCCAGCAGAGCAATGGAGCTGCAAATGGCAAGGCCAGCCCAGCAAGCTGCAGTGGAATTTTCTGCAGCCTGGGGACCTCTGTATTACAACCCATTGGCTTCCAGGGTTGCTACGGTTGTCTTCGTCTTATGGGGGAAAAGCATGGAGAACAGGAAGGGTTGTTCTGAGTCAGACCTGGAAATGTCACAATCAGTCCCACTTAGGCTCCATCGGCTAGAAATCAGTCATAGGCTATACTTGACTCGAAGGGTAACTGGGGAAGTGTGATTTAGCACTAGACCCAGGAATAGAGCAGAGCGAAGATTTTGATGAACAGCTAGCGGTCACCTTCATGGTGGAGTCCTGTAAGTTTTTGTCAAGTCCCCAGACTAGCTAGGGTCGCAGGCTCCACACTTGCTTTCCCACAGAGAGGGGCATATCCCTGGCTCTGCTTCACACTGGGAGGTTCTGCCTCACTTCTTGACCCTGGTGACACCATGTGAGGTCTGAAGACTTTGACCACCCGCAGACAACACTTTCCAGCTTCTCCTTTAACTCAACATTTTCTCTCTTCTTTCTTTCCTCCTTTCCCCCTTTCTTCCTTCCTTCTTTCTTCCCTTCTTTCTGTTTATTTACTTCTCTACCTCTTTATCTACTTATGAAGATTTGTATGAAACCCTGCTGGCATAGTGGTTAAGAGTTCAGCTTCTAACCGAAAGGTCTGCAGCTTGAATCCACCAGGTGCTCCTTGGAAACCCTACGGGGCAGTTTTACTCTATCCTGTGAGTCAGAATTCTAACTATGAGTCAGAATTGACTTGACTGCCATGGGTTTGGGTTTTTTTGGTTATACCAGCCAGTTGCATGAGGGACCACAGAACTGTACCACAACCAGGTCCAAGGTGGAAAAGGGAGATATTGCCCGTCCAGTGCAGGGACACCAACTCAGTTAATCTACTGAGGCTCTGAGCCTCA